TCATAGCTACATATTTGCAGTGTGAGATCATCTAAAGTCCTATACTTGTAACTACTGGTCTCATAAGATTTAGAGTGAGATTTGGTGACTGTGCTGCTCACTGTTCTCCTTGCTGGGAGAATAAGCTGTACCTGAGGACCTGCAGTGCAAGAATCTACCTACCTCTGATTCATCCATTCTTTGGATCTGTGCTTTTTGTTTTTTTTTTACTCTCTCCAGCTGATGTTGAAATATTCCCATCCAGGTATCCAATTACACTACCCAATACACTGGCCGCCTTCACACATTGACAAAGTGCATACAAGGTATGAAGGTCAATAATGGTAAAGAGATCAGTTGCAGGAAGGCTATAGGCAGTACTGGTGATAAGTCATTTATACTTTGCCTGCCTTTTTAGGGCACAGCTTCTTCAAGTGGAAGGAAAGTCCACTTTAGCACTTGTACTTTCAGGTAAGTCTGTAATAAGGCTTAGCTGTAGGTACAGTGAACATCTCTTAAACTTGCTCTATTGCACTCCTAAACTGCACACATGCGCAGGAGTGACGTCATCACGGTCAAAGCCCACAAACCCTGAAAGGAAGACTGGGTAAAGATGGCAGCGCCATTGAGCATAAAGACTTACATAAAGGTAAGTCATTAATAATGTACTGGTATGCAGTACATACTAGTATATTATGACCTAAATCTGCAGGGCCCATTGTTTACTACCGCTTTAAGTTCAGCTCTTCCACAATGTTATGGGGAAAGTATGTTGGTCTGACTAATAGTTGATTTTAAGCGTTAAATTTAACAGGTGAGTTTACATTTAGTCCTACTGGAATGTTAACCTAATAAAATTATCTGTTAACATATATGTTTATGGGGTGTGATAAGGCTGAATATGAGGGATAAAACTTTGTACAAATTATGAGAATATCGGAAGAATGATTGTTCATTGATTTTGCCTGCTAATCTCATATCAAAAATTAATAGGTTACAACAGTTAAAAAAATTATTTTGCGACAGAACACAACTTCAGAAGTGATATATCGTATTGTAATATATTCTTTCGTTTCTGAGCATGCGTGGTCTTGGTCTTCTGATTTTTTTTATTCTGACTAATACTGTACTGATGTAACGAAAATTGTATGTTTTGGTATCAAATGAGAACATTTTCGCATTTGTCACTTCAGATAATTTCACTCGAAATGTCGTGTTCAGCTCTGGAAAGCTGTGTACTAACAATCAGATTATCATACAATCGCTTTGAAAGCAGTATTTTTCATCAAATTTTCTCATCGTGTATACTAGGCTTAAGTGTGAAGTCAGGGGCATGGTTATTAAATAAGGATAATTTGAGACAAAGTACACTTGTTCATCTTACATAGCCCTGCATAGAAATCTGTAAGGACTCCTGCATTTCTGTCATATACACCACTTCGCCCAGAAAATTGTTAATTACTAATGTTTAGGCATTTTCATGTTTATTTTTATTGTTTTTGTTGGTATGACACGAAAAAGTGGAGAAACAAAAAGCCAAATCTGACACAATCCACGCAAAACTCCAAAAATGGACTTGACAAAATTATTGGCACCTTCTCAAAATTGTAAAAAATAATTGCATTCCAAGTTTATGATGCTCCTGTAATTTGGAATTAAACTCACCTGTATCAATTAACAGGTGCTGACAATATAGAAATCACACCAGCAACCAGTAAAATAATAATTGACTCAGCATTTCTATTGTATGTTACTGTGTGTCACATGGAGCATGGAGAAAAGAATGAGCAGCAAAAAAACTGTCTGAGGATTTGAGAACAAAAATTGTGGAAAAGCATGGACAATCTCAAGGTTACAAGTCCATCTCCCAGGATCTTAATGTTCCTGTATCCACTGTGCGCAAGATTGTCAAGAAGTTTACTACCCATGGCACTGTAGCTAATCTCCCTAGAAGCGAATGAAAGAGAAAAATTGATCAAAGATTGCAACAAAGGATTGTTTAAATGATGGCTAAAGAATCTTGATCAACTTCCAGACAAATTCAAGCTGATTTTCAGGCACAGGTACAGCTTGCACTATATGTCACCATCTGAATGAAAATGACGCTATGGTAGGAGCCAGACTGGAGTTTGCTAAAACTTACCTGACGAAGCCAAAATCGTTTTGGGAGAATGTGCTGTGGACAGACAAAACAAAATTACAGCTTTTTGGTACAGCCCATCATTCTGCTGTTTCCAGAAAAAGAAATGAGGCCTTTGAAGAAACAATACAGTCCCTACAGTTAAACATGGTGGAGGTACACTGATGTTTTGAGGTTGCCTTGCTGGTACAGGCACTGGATGTCTTGACCGTGTGCATGGCATTATGAAATCTGAAGACTACCAAAGAATTCTGTGGTGCAATGTAGGGCTCAGTGTCAGAAAGTTGGGTCTCCGTCAGAGGTCATGGGTCTTACAGCAGGACAATGATCCAAAGCATATGTTAAAAAGCACCCAGAAATGGTTTAAGACAATCTCACAGAGCACCTGTGGACAGATCTCAAAACAGCAGCTGGGAAAAGGAAACCTTCCAATCTGAGAGACTTGGAGCAGTTGGTCCAAAATTCCAGTATAGAGGTGTAAGAAACTCATTAGTAGTTACAGTAAGCTTTTGATTGCAGTTATTTTTTCCAAGGGGTGTGCTACGAAATATTAAATTGAGTGTTCCAATACTTTTTTTCCATCCATTTTTGGAGTTTTGGGTGGAATGTGTCAGATTTGGCTTTTTGCGTCTCCACTTTGTGTCATACCAATACAAACAAAGTAATAAACATGAGAATGCATAAACATTTGTAATTGCAACAAAGTGGTGCATTATCTGACAAAAATGCAGAGGTGCCAATATTTTCAGCCATGACTGTGTATATATATTTTAGCAGGCTGCAGCTGTGATAATCAAGGTAAGAACAGCAGGGGGTTGGGTAAAGTTTAAATCAGGGGCTATGCAGGGTGGATAAGTGTACTTTGTCTGAAAGTACACTTATCAAATTACATGTTGGTGCCAAAACCCCTGTGTCAGGATAGATAGTTCCAGGTTCCAGGCACCAAAAGCTGATATATAAAACAAAAATGCCAGAATATGGTTAAGAGTAAAGTGAGAGCACTATGTGTGTTTTGAAAGGCTGGCATTTTAAACTTTTTTTTTTAATGATTTCACTTCAGGAGAATTTCTGTTTAAAGCAGATAGTCCACTTTCATTCCATGTTTATTGAGTTTATAGTGTAAGAAGATAAAGACATATATTAGAAGCATCTGGAATTTTACATAGGGCAAGTCATCTATCACACTACAGTTCCACCACTTAGTTTCATACAAACATAGAGATAAAATTTATTGTGGTATGTAGTAGTATTTTTTTAGATACATACGTCATCTAAAAGGTCATAATGTTTTAAATACCGTTGTTTTCCGTGAATTTCTAATTACCTGTAGGGACAGCAATATTGTTTTATAAATGACAGTTAAAGGAAGACTGAAACCAACATAGAAATATCCTGGGCACAACTGATGAGGAGAGGAAGATAGAGGACTTGTCAAGGCAAAGTGAAGCAATATGGGTTCAATGGTCAGGACGAAAGGAAAAGTAATTGTTATGCATATAGAATTTTGGGGAGGATTATGAACAAAAAGGGACATCCCACAACCTGTCTGTCAGCCCTGGTCCCTACACAGTTAATGCATTTCCTCTCTTTCTGGGTCTGAATTTGACATCTAGTGTCCTCAAAACGTGAGAATGTATTACAATTATTTTATAAATGAAGTTACACTTAAAATTTTTAAATGGCAAACAATATGGCCAGATCTAAAGGTGTAATTAAGTTTACATTAAAGGGGTTTTTTCACAGAGCAGCCCCTGATGATCCTCTTCTTGGGTCCCCAGCTGGCACTCCAGGCTACTCCCTCCTACCTAGTGCCCCCGTAGCATGAAACTTGCTATGGGAGCTCCAGAACCAGTGCTCTGTGTGTCCATTCACATGGAGTGCGGCTTGGCCCCCATTCTCTTTTCATTGGCTCACTGGCTGTAATCGACAGTAGCGGGAGCTAATTACCACCGTGCACATTGCTGGACCGAGATGGGGTACAGGCAAGTATTAAGGGGGTGGGGGTGCTGCTGCTGCACACAGAAGGTTTTTGCCTTCATGTATACAACCACTTTAAAGCTAAAGGCAGACCATTCAACCAGCAACAGAAGGTCTATTACGGTCTGTCTGCATTGATTTTTAGAGACCAGCATTTGGAAAATATTGTTAATAGATATATTATTCAGACTGCTATGAAAATTGTGTGTTGGACTTTATAATATAAAGGCCATGAGGTCTTGTTATATTGGAACCCTCCTGTTTAGCTGTCCTTATAGCTGTCTTGGGATGGCTTTCATCACACCAAAGAACTAGTTTGTTCGATGGAAGAAATTTGCTCCTTTGAATACTAGATACACTATATTAAAAAAAGTATTGCGACGCCTGCCTTTACATGCACATGAACTTTAATGGCATCCCATTCTTAGTCTGTAGGGTTCAGAATTGAGTTGGCCCGCCCTTTGCAGCTATATCAACTTCAGTTCTTCTGCGAAGACTGTCAACAAGGTTTTAGGAGCGTGTCTATGGGAATGTTTGACCATTCTTCCAGAAGCGCATTTGTGAGGTCAGGCAATGATGTCGGATGATAAGGCCTGGCTCACAGTCTCCACTCTAATTCGTACCAAAGATGTTCGTTTGGGTTGAGGTCAGAACTCTGTGCAGGCCAGTGAAGATCCTCCACCCCAAACTTGCTCATCCATGTCTTTATGGACCTTGCTTTGTGCGCTGTCATATTGGAACAGGAAGGGGCCATTCCCAAACTGTTCCCACAAAGTTGGGAGCATGAAATTGTCCAAAATGTCTTGATATGCTGACGCTTTCAGTGTTCCCTTCACTGGAAATAAGAGGCCAACCCCAACCCCTAAATAACAACCCCACTCCATATTCTCCCTTCCACCAAACTTTACACTTTGCACAATGCAGTCAGGAAAGTACCGTTCCCTTGGCAACTGCCAAACCCAGACATGTCCATTGCAAGAGAAGCTTGATTCATCACTCCAGAGAACACATCTCTACTACTGTAGAGTCCAGTGGTGGCATGCTATACACCACTGCATTCGATGCTTTGCATTGCACTTGGTGATGTAAGGCTTGGATGCAGCTGCTCAGCCATGGAAACCCATTCCATGAAGCTCTCTACACACTGTAGTGCTAATCTGAAGGCCACATGAAGTTTGAAGATCTTTAGCTATTGACTCTGCAGACAGTTGGCGACTGTGCGCTTCAGCATGCGCTAACCCTGCTTTGTCATTTTATGTGGCCACCATTTCATTGCTGTTGTTCCCAGTTGCTTCCACTTTGTTATAATACCATGAACAGTTGACCATGGAATATTTAGTAACAAGAAAATTTCACGGATGGACTTATTGCACAGGTGGCAATCTATCACAGTACCATGCTTGAATTCACTGAGCTCCTGAGAGCGACCCATTCTTTCACAAATGTTTGTAGAAGCAGTCTGCATGCCTAGGTGCTTGATTTTATCTACCTGTGGCTATGGAGGTGATTGGAACACCTGAATCCAATGATTTGGAGGGGTATCTCAATACATTTGGCTGTACTGTATAGTGTATTTACTAATGAGCACAATTACTGATATTTCTACATAATAAAAGCATATTCTAAGTAGCTTCATGGGCGCTGCTGACTATTTTGCCCTAGACACTCATTAATAATATGGCACTTCTAAACGGGATCTATCCTTTTTAACCCTTTTCTCTGATCTCATTTCAGTTCTGCTCCTGAATTTATTTGCCGATGTGTATAGGTATCTGGCAAAGGCAAAAAGAAAAGAAAAGCTTATGTTTTAATGTTGCCCCCCTTTCCTTGCTGCCCTGACACAGGCACACACATGCCTTAAAGTAACAGGGGCATATGTAAATGTGCAAGTGACCTATAATAATGTGTTATTGGCATCATTTATCTTCTGACCTGTGACTCTGTGTTACAAGGTTCTGGCTCTTACGTTTTGGGGAAGACTTAGCTGGATGCTTCAAGAGTTAAGCAGGTGCCAGATTTTTGTGAGAAGCAGGCACCTGCCAGGCAACTCCAGATAGCTTTGCAGCTCAGAGGCACTTTCCCAGGCTCCCAAATGAATGGTCACTAATAGCCGTGGGAGAGGGCTTTCCACTGTTCTACACTGTACCACAGACTCTATTTGGCAGCCATGTGGAATATCGAGTCAACTTGGCTGTGACTCCACTGGAAAACAAGTGTTGCTGGATAGTTTTACAGTGAAAACTTAGTGTCTGATATTTCCTCTCACTGTCCTGGGGCTGTGAATTACAGCAAGCAGGGCAGAATACCACTCCCTTGAAATGATTACTCACTCTAAAACATTCAATGCAAAAGTATAAATGCAAGCTTTAATAAAACAGACGTTTTCTTCATTTCTACATCTGTTCTGAGATTTGGAGATAACTGCAGGCTTAGAGTCTTTAAACAGTAAGGGGTATAAGCAGGAAAGAAATTGGAACACCTAATGCAATAACAATGTCATATATATTATCTGAATGTAATCCCGCTCTGGTCACTGCACTGGACAGCGTTTGCTGATCTAAGCTTTATGATGAGAATTATAGCTTATTACACATGTCATTGAAATTGCAAAGACATCTGCTGTTATTAGATTAACATAAATGTTCACTGCCAGCCCTTGTTTGCCTTTATTTTATAAACTACACTTGAAGATTGACAGCTAGAATTTGGTTGTTATGGGCAAAACCTTCCCTACCCTTTCCTTCACATCCCACATTTGATGTCTGAGAGAACAAAATGTTTTAGATGATTCCTTCTTTTCCAAGCAAAACTCTGGGCAAATGATTAATTACCTGCTCCTGAAGACTAAAGCTACATGGGTGATTTAGGTGCTCTAATGGACTTTTTAAAGTGGTTGTAAACCCTTTCATATATGTAAGTGACTGGGCTCAGGTGATGCATAGAGATGAAACAAATCCTTCTACATACATTATACCTGTTTATCTGCTATCTTCTCTTCCCTACATCCATTTAAAGTCTAGAATTTATAAAACTTGTCTGTGCTTTTAGAAAGCAGGGGGTGGAGAGCTGAAATTACACTCTGCAGAGCTCAGTGAGGAGGGCTCTGAAAGCTGATTAGAGGGAAGGGACACACCCCCTTCACAGAGCACACAGGAACAGAGCTGAGGCTGTCAATCGCAGGCTTTGTGCTGGAGGTCCCTCCCTTGTCACCTTTTTTTCTCTTGGTCTCAGGAAATCTTGTCAGAAGTGATAGCTGATAGCAGAGGACCAAAGCTGCAGACAGAATTGACACTTAATGTTCTTAATTGAAACAAGTACACACTATAGAGGGATATGCTTTGTTCATATTTTACCTCTGAGGTTTACAGCCACTTTAAATTGACTTTAATTGATAGTTAAAGACTAACAATCACCAACCAATGAAAGAAGTGACTCCCCATGGAGGGCTATGTCTTTGAGTAATTTTTAAAATGACAGAAACTGCACTCTACTATATCCGTGGTCTCCAAACTACGGCACAAGGGCTGAATGCAGCTCTTTGCTTGTCACTATCCAGCTCTTGGGGCACTATTTCTACCATTAATACAAGGCACTCTTCCTCCCACTGACACCAATGATGGGGCACCATTCTTCCCACTGACACCAATGATGGGACACCACAGATTACATGCAAGTACCTTTGGCAGTAACTGCACCTACATTCTTTGTATTGATTGAACAAAAATATCAGCAAATATCACACAAGTAGCTAGCTTGTGTATTGGTGATTCACCATTATTTATATAAATCATTATGATAAAATTCTTATACATTTCTTTGAACTGTGCTGTTCCTAGCTATCTGTATATACATTAGAAACAAACTACTGAAAACATTTGAAGTCATACTAGTACCTAATAGGGCTGATTATGATTTTGACAGTGTTGAGGGGGTGTGAGTGCATACTGGACAATCCATCGATGGTCCATAATCATTAATAGGTCAGGAACCCCTACCCTAGTGCATGGATAGGTAAGTGATTTTATAGCTTTCTGTATCTCTGAGGGATTCTTGTATGGACCTCTGTACTTCAGTTTTCTGACTTAACCTGCAATGGCCTTTAGGCAGAGGTCACACCTTCCATGTTCAATGCTAGAGGAGGAGAAAACATCTTTCAAGTGGACAGACCCTTTGAAAAACCTGTGAAAGGTTACACATCAATTTAACCATAATTCATTGCAAATTGTTGCACAGCCCTGATTGTCCCTGGTTTCAAGTAACCTTCGACTGACAGCCACTTCTGCATATCCGTTTTTTACTGTAAGCCAGGCCAGTGGCTATTATCTATTATGCAGCTACAAATTCGAACATGTTCTTCCCATATGTAGAGTTTATCTCTAATTGTTATTTAAAGGATTTTACGCTTATTATGTCTGTTGCACAAAATGTTGCTTTAGGCACCGTGTTAATCCACTAGTACATTAGATATAGAAGTTATGTATGTCTTTTAAAAAGGTTTTTGGTTGGGAACGTGCTAATTATTATTCCCCTTAAGCATAATGGGCAGTTGTTGACATTTCTGACACTTCCAATATCCATATTGCAGTTGATTGACTAAACCTCCCAGATGTTGTGGAACTTAATAATGCTAATCACTCTCACTTGCTATGACTTTAAGCCAAATTTATTACACCACACCTATAAAATTCCTGTCAAAGATCAAAAAACAAGGAGCTTATGTTTCTGTAGATTTTATATTGGGTTTGGGGGGTTCACTCATATTTTAACTGTCATTGAAGCATATGTATATGTTCAACATTTTCAGTTTGGTTTGATTACTAGATCAGTAAGCATATAGCTCAATTGGTATGTGTAAAATAGCATGCTAGTCTAAACATAGACTTACTGGTAAGTTTTTATATTCTGAAATATAGCATACCCAGGCTGAGATTTTCATCACTGAAGCCTGTAAGCACACAACCCTTGGTGCCCAAAGTAACACATCCCTCTGCTAGGATACTCTCTTTTATACAGAGCACGTTGTGGAATAACATGTCTTAACCTTAAATACAGTGACAATGTGTAAATATGATCATATTTGAAGACTGTGTTTGTCCTGATAATAGAAAAGAGATTTGAGGTCAATAACTCTCTATGACAAAGCCACCTACTGAGCTAAATGGCCAGCTTAGTGCTCCGGACACTGGACTTCTACCCAGACTTCATTTATTATATACAATATACTGGCATGGAAAGACTGATTCCAGCTTCATTTGCTACAACTGACATCGTGCTGTGAGTTTTCCTGGAAAGTATCTTAGATCAGTAATCAATTTTAGACTTTTCTGTATTAAATGGTACGCATCTTTAAAGCAATGCTCAAAGCAGATAGCAGTAGCAGATAATTTCATAGATGTGCAGATCTTGCAGTTGCATATGAGAGCTACCAATCTAGAGGTGGCCTTCATAAATAACTATAACAGAATTCCTTAAAGTGTACTATATATATTGAGTTAGCAGAGCTTAAAAGAGAAGTAGGGCCAAAGCCCTACTTTTGGCACTCCTCCTGTAGGTCACAAGAGTGCACTTAGTACTGCACTCCTGTGACCGGTGTTTAGCTGACAGCGGCCTCAAAGCTTCTGTTGGCTGACATCACTGAGCCGGTCCATACTCTGGAGGGATACTCCAGGAAGTACTGGAGGGGCAGAGTAGAGAGCTGGTGACTAACAGTCACCGGCTCTCTGCTCACTGATGATCAAGAACTGAGCGATCAGCGGTCATGTTTTCGGTCTTACAGCTGGCAGGGGACAGATGGAGCATCGGACCAATACTGCATCCACCTAGGTGAGTATAAATGTCTATTTTTTTAATTCCTATACTGCTCTTTTAATGTTACACAACACTGGATAAAATTTATAGATGAGGACACTTTTAGGCTAGACTTTATATAATACGCTTCCTTTACTAACTGGCAGCTATACCTAGCAGGAGACATACTCACTCAGGACTTTTCTGTCATGTGGAGTGGTAAGTGATCATTTTCTCCTAACTACTGACACTGGGAAAATGATGGGACTTGTAACTAGTGGTCGAACATATGACTTCCTTATCCTACAATGTTCATAGAAATTGCTATTTGCTCACAAGTTACAACTAGTGTGCACTAGAGGAATTGGAGCTGTTTGTGTAACTGGGAGCTCCCAAAAGGAAGGTGTGTATGGAAAAGAAGGGAATTTCTATCAGAGATGCAGAGAGATATGAATTAGAGAATGTGCAGAAATGTAAAGCTTAACTCTAGATAAAACTTTCTATTTAATTTTTTATAGGCTTAGGGAGGGGTAGAGCCTCTATCAGATTTATATTGCCATCTGTGGCCCTGTTTTGAAAAATTTCCCTCCTCACCTTCCTTTAGGACAGGAAGTAATGGGAATTCTCTGCAACGTAAAACAGACATAAGCAGAAAAGCATTTTTAGTAAATAAGGAAGGGCTGA